GTCGATTATTATTAAACGATAATAGGAATGAGTTTGGTCAGCCGTTTTATATGCGCCGACGACAGCTGTTGTCCCCCGAAACGGGAGTCGCGATCGGCGCGTTATATGCGCTACCGTTTGCGCTCACCGTGTATATTCGTGTCGCGCAACGTTATACCGGGCGCTAAGTATCCTCAATTAATACCGCATTCAATGCGTTTGTGTACACGCAGGTGCGGCGTTTATCTGTTTTTCACCTGTTTGTGCCACTTCTGTGACTCCCACGTGGCGCGAGCGATTTCACGGCGACCAGCCGCGCGTTTTCCACCGACGCTAAAAGCGCTGCGAGTCGTAGAGTCCGAGACAAAAAGCGGTGACGCGAAACAATCAGACAACGCAGAGATAACGCGTTGTCTATTTATTGGCTCCGTACGTATTGTTAAGCCTATTATTCTCCGTACGTATTGTTAAATCTATTATCCATTATTCGGCGTTGCCATTCTTAGAGGAGATGATGGAAATGAAACAAGGCTGATTTCTCAAGCAATTACTGCTATCTGTCAATAACTAAAGTAAACATGACCATTAGGATCCCTTTTGGCCACCAAAAGGATTTGGCATCAGTGCCACGTTGTTTACAGTGTTAAGAGAAGTCGCATTGTTTCCTTCCTGTTAGAACCTTTTCACAAGATAAGATACAAAAATATCTTCCCCGTTTTAATCGACAAATTCAACATATTAGCTGTAGTCGATTAGTAATAAGATTAAATTCCTAAATCGCAGAGTTAGTTATTTGGAAATATTTTTCATATTTTGAGATTCGCTAAGTCGCTTGAAAAATAACTATAGGTGATAATATGGAACAAGGTGTTCCATGCCACATCTTGTGCAGTGGATGTGAAAATGATATTTTTATTTGCGGCTTCTGTTCATAAGCCTCAAGGACCTCTACATGATTTGAATTATTGAATTTAATTTTCTTAATTTTCGTAGGAAATTTTTCTTATTTTCATCTTTAACTTATGATTTCTACATTTAAAGATATTCAATAAAAAAGTCGTTTTAACACCAACAACTTTATGATAGTAAAAAAATAAGATTTTTATGCCTGTTTCATATTACCGCCTCGTCTTCTAAGACTCCACTTCTTGCACAGTGTTGAAAAAATTTTTCGCACTTTTTGAACAATTTGTCTTTCTCCTAATGATTATGAATATATATTATAAGAAATATATTTGCTGACACTTCTGACAATTGTCGATGCAATGGTTGCACTTAATATTAGATTTTTCGTTTGAAATAAAAAAAAAGTGAATTTTTTATCTGAAACAAAAAGCTCATGTTTCCCACCTTCTCTACTATACTTTAACGTAAAAAATCGGAGGCGACGCGCTTATTAATTTTTAGGGCTTCTCGCGCGAGGGAAAGTGGGCGCTTTTATCCCAAGAAAGAAGTTGCGCGCGCGACCTTTCCTCGGAACGTTATTTTCTATCTCTAATGTCTAACGATGTACACACCGCGTTACGAGCCACTTTGTGTGAAACATTGTGCATCGGCTGCGATCGCCGCTCGCTTTCATCCCCCACGCGATCGACGGTTAACGACGGCTAAACGTCGGCATATTGTGCGCCGAAAAGGTCGCTTTCCCGACAGGTTGGCTTTTAGGCGCGCGCGAGGCACGATCGGAGGTACACCGAAGGTCCAAAATAACCCGCCGGATAATTAAGTAGATTGCCATGGAAATTAGATTAGGTGAGTTTCTCGCGGGGACACAACAATCCCAGCTTAATTGCCCGGTATTGTGCCAGGAAGTTAATGGCTGCGCGCTCTGTGCACTCGGTTGCCCATCGTCGTCTTGCCCGAGGACAGGTTGCGCTTTATAATTGCGACTGCGTGAAACACGGGAACGTGTCGAGCCCGCGAGCCGTGGTCGCGAAAATGCGAAACGTTACGTCGACACCGAGACGCGAAATTGGATTACGCAAATCATCGGAGCGCGTCGCGCGCGCGCTGCCTCACTCTTCATTTCGGCTCTCATTACCGAATAAAAACTCACTTCCCCGTGAGAGGCTCATTCCTCCATATAAAAATATCTTCAACGAGTTTTTCATGCGTTTTATATATTTCCAAAAATTACAAAATGAAAAAATATATTTGTTTGAGGAAGTAACTTTCGACACAAAAATATATTTGTTTGAGGAAGTAACTTTCGACACATTAATCTTAAAATGAGATTACATTGCATTAAATGCATATAAGTTATTTGCAAGAATAGGTTTTACGTGATTTCTTTCAGCAAGGAAAATTCTGTTTTTATTGTACAAAAATAATTTTCATTAATAATTTTCATAATGGAAAGCACAAAATATTAGTTTTTAGAATATAACATTTTTAAATTGCGGAAGAAGAATATTATTATTCTACCAAAATAATCATATTGTATTTCTTATAAAACTATTATAATATTTAAATAAAATTATAACACATTATTGAAACTCAAGACTTCAAAGTTTTTCTAACAAAATGACATATTATTGCTTATATATGAGACGATGATTGTCAATTTCAGCATATTAGTTTTAAATGGATACTAATCTTTTTTTCTGCGTAGAGTTAGGTGCTAATGTTATATATTAATGTCCAGACATACTTTTACCTCATCCAAACTTACTACGAGAATTTAAGATGATCATAAATATTTATTACTAGCTATATTGCCAAGAAGGGGACTTGGTTTACAAAAAACATTATCTTAATTATCTCGACCGTTCACACCTTATGTTAAACCTTTTTCTACCTATATGCTTATTCTAATACCACAGCTGTCATATTCTGTACATATTTCACAATTTAAAATTCCTTTTACTTATTACTATTATCTGTTACTATTACTTCTTACTATTATATTATTTTACTATAATATTATCCAATCTACTTTATCTTATTCCAACTTACCAATCTACTGCCACAACACTGTATTGCTACTTCTTGGCTCCTTTACGTCTTTATCGTAACTACTCTTTTTAACATCCTAAACATTCCCATCCTTTTTCTTTCTCCTCTTTAATTTCCCTCAACCTCTTGTCTCATTCTCTCCGAAGCTTCCTCAAAATATTGCTTTTCTTCATTTAGCTGCCATCATCCCATATTATCTTTCATTTTTCTTCGCTATCGCTTCCTAACTCTTCAAACCATTCTATTGTATTCTACGAGAATTTAAGAGAAAATTGACAAGTCTTTTGCATCAATCTGTTGCAAGGGCCTTTAAGCACGCCTGTTTGACTTGAAATTTAACGAAGCACCGAGCAGTACCGTACTGCGTAGTTTAGTTCGCGCATTCCAGAAGGGGAAGGATACTTCGCGATTAATGCAACACATTAGGAAGAATTGTTGCGACTATATAGCGATGGCGATCACCTCCGGCCTCGAGGTCTCACGTTACATTATCCTGGCCGTTTGAGCTATCCGAGATGGTAATTCCGCGTTATTTCCCGAGGTCGAGGTCGCGGCGGCATCGTCGATTCGTGCGGAAAAGGAGACCATCGATCTCCGCCGAATAAATCGCCGGGGACGGTCGTCGTGACGAGATGACGCGGTAAATCATTCTCAGAGTTCTCAGGGACTCAAAGAACTGTCTCTATCTCTCTTTCGTTCTCGCTCTCCCCCTCTCTTTCTCTTTCTCTCTCTTACGTCGCAGCTATAACGTCGGCCCCACGCGACATTAACGCTATTATTTCTGCGTTATTACGAGGCGCGTCGCAGATTCGCCGAGATAAAAGAATTTTGGATAATGAAAGGCGATGCTTTTGTCACGTGCAAACGGGAATCTCCGGGTCGTTTTGCACAGCGGGAGATAAGTTGGAAAACAAGTTCTGCGATCGACTCGTCAATTAAACCTCGATGCTCGCTACGATATACCATGCCAATCAAGCAACGGAGAGCAAATAGCGCGCGCGCGATGGAAACGTTCCTTTACTAAACAGATTCAATTCGCTCTAATCGCTGCGCGATATCATTAATTAATCCGCCGCGATATTCGTTCCTTTTACTGGCATTTCGACGCACCTACACTGAGAGAAAAATATAGTTGCTTTCGGCGTCAACTATACTTTTTTGTGATTTTAAATATAATATATTTAAAAAAATAATTAGAAGAACCATCTTTCTAATAACAGTTACGAAAACAATGATTTTTCTAATTATTTTTGTGGTTAAAATCATAAAAGAGTATAATTGACGCCAAAGGCAACTATATTTTTCTCTCAGTGTACAAACCCCGTTTTTTTTACGAAACTGTTATCTCACTGGAGACCGAGTTTTTCACGAGAAATCTATCGCCTTCTAATTAGGCGGCCGGATTTATTAAGTCGACAAGATAACATCTGGCTTTCTCCTAATTGTGAAAACTAGTTCAGATTAGATGCGCGATTATGTATGCGCGAATTCAAGTGTTTACCAGAACTCCGCATAGCAGTTTATGCTGATGAACGACGCGGTCGTTCAAAACTCGAAGAAACCACCTGCATATCGCGACTCAAGCCTGATCTACAATGTCCTTTTCTCTTCTCACTCTCTGTCTCTTTCTGGTTAAAGGCTTTGAGGTTTAAGACGTTCACTACCAGCGTCATACATGTGTGACGTATCGATCTCGCACTTTAAGTTTTGACTCAATTTTCAGTTTTACTTAACACGTTCGTCGTGTATGTATGAAATTTCTCTCTATATATCCACGTACATGAACAGACCAAGCTGTTTTATGCAACTACTTGCAAAGAAATATAACGTCGCATCTGCGGAGAAAATTCCCCCCGTAGTAAAAATATGATAAACGTGTTAAATCAAAAACAGATTAAGGGAAGAAAAGAAGGGAAGAGCACATTGTAGATCAGCCTTTATCTCAGCAAGACGCATCGGCGTTGAAACCGAGCGCCGAGGCTCCGAAATTCGAAGGGCCGATCTCGCTCTCGTCGCGTCGCGTCGGCCTGACCGCTCTTGACCCTTGAACGCGAATCGGGACTCACCTTGCCGCGGCGGCGAGCGTCGCTCTATCCGAGTGTGGCCTGCTGCTCTCTCGCCTAATTACCAAGGTTATCACGGGGACAATTGTCGCGTCGAAGAAAACAGGTTTTCACTTTCAGCTCTCAAACGTCCTCCTCCGTCCTCCTTCGTCTCTCGCGTGACCACCAGTTCCTTCACACGCGGTCAGAGTGCCGGATACACGCGCGGCGTTCTCACGTCTCTCTGTCCACCTGCGTGGGACACGTGCACGTCAAGGAATCTCGCGGCACTGACGACTCGGCGAATCGGCAGAGGCAGCAAAAGAGAGAGCGGAAGGGAGGTGCAGAAAGAGTGTCGCGATCGCGCGCGGTTCCCCTTGCTCGCGGCCGTTCACAGCCGCGACGATCGATCCGCGTGGAGCAAAGTCCCGCAAGGATCCCGCGAAGGATTCTCCTCGGGCGCCGACGACTCGTCGGCACGCAGGAGAGACGTATGCAAGCACGCACGCAGCGGATCAGGACGAGGCACGGCAGCGGCGCGCGTCGCAGTCGCGCGTCGTCAACGACGAAGCGGTGGACGGTGCGGCAGGTGCAGCAGCTGCAGCTGCCACGGTCGTCGGCTTCATACTGAAGGGGAGAGATACACGGTTCGATGCCGCCGCCACCGCCGCCGCCGCAGGCTGCCGCCGCGCGAGCAGCTACGAGAAACTGGCTCTGAACGCCGCCGCCGCCGCTGACTGCTCCGAAAACTCGGAGCAGCACTGTGCTCTCTCTCTCTCTCTCACTCTCTTTTTCTCTGGTTCTCTCCGTTTCTCCGCTTTCATCTCTCTCCACTCTCTCGCTCTCGTCCTGCCGCCGCTCTCCTCGTCGTGTCCCTCTTCCCCCTTTTGCCATCACCAAGCGCGCCATCAGTGTGTGCGTTTGCC